AGGAAGGAAGGAAGGAAGGAAGGAAGGAAGGAAGGAAGGAAGGAAGGAAGGAAGGAAGCCAATTCCCCTGAAGAAAGATAGGCTATAAATTTACTAAATAGTAAATAGATATAAATAAATGTCAACATTTTAAAAATAAACAATACTTCCTATAGAGTCCAACTGGGTTCACGCAATGCATTTAACCTGGTTTTATACCACATAACTGCTATCTTTACATAGCATGCTACACACACACACACACACAAACACACACACACACACCACATCTTAACATATTGGCTTGGTTCATCCAGCATCTCAAGACAGCAATTGGGCTCCACAAACCCAAATGCACAAGTACCTGGCTGAACAGTAGTACCTGCAAAAGGGACATTGAAGTCCTAATGGATAACCTATGACTCAACAGTGTGCTGCGGATGCCAAAAAAAGCCAATGCAGTCCTAGGTTGCAATCAGAGAGAGATAGAATCAAAATCACGTGAAGTGTTAATACCACTTTATAATGCCAGACAGTGAGAACAATAAACCTGTGGAAAGGCTTGCTTTCAGAAGTTTTGGGTGTGCCAGCACTGGATGTTTTTAAAACAGAGATTGGATAACCACTGAAATGATATCGTTGTTTTCTGCTTGTGTAGAGGGTTGGACTAGATGATCTCCATAATTCCTTCCAACTCTGTCATTCTGTTATTCAATGACATTTTGTCTGGAACCCGCACTGCATATCGGACATTAATACAATCGAAGGAGTCCAAGATATTTCACGAGAAGAGTCCTCCACTCCTCTGCTCGCAACAGAATACCTTATGCCACCAGGCTTAAAATTTGGGGCTTAGACATCTTAAAACTGCTGCCTTCAGTCTGACCTAAGCATAGTACATACAATAACTTCTACAATGTCCTACCTGTCAATGACTACTTCAATCTCAGCTATAACAATACATGAGGACACAATAGATACAACTCAAGGTTAACCGCTCCAAACTCGATTGCAGAAAATACAACTTCAGCAACAGAGTAATCAATGCCTGGAATGCTCTACCTGACTCCATTGTTACATCCTCAACCCAAATCCCCAAAACTACAACCTTAAGACTGTCTACTGTCAACCTCACCCCTTTCCTAAGAGGTCTGTAAGGGGTGTGCATAAGCACACCAACGTGCTTACTGTCCCTGTCCTAATCTTCCCTTTTATTCATATCCATTTCATGTATTCATAATCATGTTTATATTTATATCTGTTATCTAATACATACTTGACAACATAAATAAATAAATAAAAATAAAGTATTAGGGGGTGGTGGAAGCAACTTAAGAAGTAATGGGAGGGGCAGTTATTGATTTGACTGTGGTCAAATATGACTTCTATGTTTGCTTGCAGATACCCGTTGTATTGACCGGAATTTTCTCCCTACCAAATCAAAAGCTCTTGTTGCTTTGTCGAGCTTCCCAGGAGCAGGAAACACATGGGTTCGCCATTTGATAGAGCATGCCACAGGAGTCTACACAGGGAGCTATTACTTTGATGGAACTCTGTACAATAAAGGTATGTGTTGACTCTTCGCTAGACTGAAGCTGTGGATTAAAAGCAGGCAATCTTTTGGAAGTCAATGGATAGCAATAGCAATAGCAGTTAGACTTATATACCGCTTCATAGGGCTTTCAGCCCTCTCTAAGCGGTTTACAGAGTCAACATATCGCCCCCAACAACAGTCCGGGTCCTCATTTTACCCACCTCAGAAGGATGGAAGGCTGAGTCACCTTGAGCCGGTGA